CAACACTTTTAGAAAAAGGCAGAAAACTTTGCCCTGGGCTAGCTCAAGACCTTCCACTTAGGTTCTCTTGTCTGGTTCCCTCGTGTTCTTGGTTTTGAAGTGGTCTCATCTTCCTCAAGTAAGAGCTTCAGCCCCAGGTGCCAACCTCTTTAGAGCAAAGAGCAGTGTCTTTTCAAACACTCAACTAGCTAATGCCCCCAGGCTTATCATCTTCTTCAGGTTCACATTCTTAGTCACTGTAAAAATGTGATGGCCCCCCTTCTTATAACCCCTCTCCTAATGACTGAAGACCCTCTAATGGGTTTGGCAATCTCTGTGGGCAACCTCAGTCTAGAGCATGGTGAATGTTTCACATGCCTCTTAATTTAATCTCTAAAAGCCAAACTGTAAGCCAACCAGTTATTTGCCCAATGTGATAACTATACATTCTCTAGTTTTTCTACCCTAAGCTTTTTCCATGTAGTTGAGTGTGCTTAGGGAAATAGCACTGAGACAACATCAAACCCAAAGGGTTAGTAGCCTTGCTCTGCTATGTTCATGTGCAGATATAGTCATACCAAAGTCTCAGAGGTGGCTTTGAGGCACCCCATTACAGAAGAAAAGGCTGAATTAAGAGGTGATAGGTTCCCCTGCATTTGAGATCTTTCAGTGAAACCTGGATGGCTACTTATTGAGGATGCAGTGTGGTACCATGGAAAGAAGACTGACTTAAGTCAGAGACATGGATTCAAATTCTGCCTCTAACCCTTCCTGTGTAATCTTGGGCAAGTCACTTAACCCCTTTTAGCCTCATTTCAGTGGGGTATGGTTTGGTGAGATGAGGGGGTTGGATTGAATGGCTTGTGAGGTCTCTTCCAGCTCCAGGTCTATGGCTCCATATTATAAAGGGGATTACAAGATTGTTCCTCAAATCCCTTTCAGTTCTGGGATTCTGGAATTTAATTCTTTGGCTTAATTTGGAGACTCTTGTGAAATTCTTCATACAATTTGTCCACAGCAATGCAAATCCAGACAATAAGCTTCAATTATCCTTTTGCCCATGCTCAGAGAAAACACTTTCAAAGCAACATAAATAATTTCCCCCATTAAATGACTTTTTGCTGCCCTTTGGTATGTGATGAAACCAATTCTGCTGACTCCTTTATTCATTTTTAGCTGGAGTCATAATTTCCATTTAGTTGTGATTCCTTGATGCTATTTGGTTTCATCTATAGTGAGAATGCCAATGTGGACATGGTTTAGCTTACATTGCTATAAGAATATGAAGGAGGACAGGGGTAGATAGAAACACTGGAGAGATGCTCAGAAATGGCTCTTATATATATATTTCCAAGTTCTTTCCTTATATTGACCCTTTAAGGTTAGTATTTCCAATTAAGGTTGGTATTTCCAATTTCCATGTTACATTTCTATTTTATTTTATTTTCTATTGTTATTTCAATTTTCCATTTTACAAATGAAGAGACTGAGGCTTGGGAAAGTAAAATAATTTGTCCAGAGCTAGTAAGGGTGGGATGCAGGATTCAAACCCATGTCTCCTGCCTCTACATCCCAGGTTCCTTCCAACTGTTTCTAAATTTAAGGGTTGGCAGTGCAACTCCATGGGTCATTTCCTCATAAAGGATAGAGGGAAACAGTGTGTTAAAAGGAAAATTCTTTGGGTTTTCACCCTGATTAAAGAGGCAAAACTCAGGACAAAGAAAATTAAAGGAGTTTATTAAATACATCAAGAGAGCAATGCATAGACAGGCTGATCACCAGGGATCAGCAGTGGCATCGAGATGGAGCCAAGTTTTATTGACAACTTTCATAATGATATAAAGACAATTCTGGTAGATCCATGACAGTGAAAGGGGATGGACAATTGCATCTCAGGTCCTCCCCAAGGTAGCAAGTATATGACAATTTTCAGGTACAAATATGTAGGGGGATGACTTGCTAGCTGGGTGAATATCAGGTACTAGAGAGCTTGCAGACTGGTTGATGCTTCCCCACAGCACTGATTGACAAGCAGGTCTGGGAACAATGGGCCACTGAATCAGCCTAACTTTCAACAGGTGAAGTTAGAATTTCTTAATGGATTTTATTAATATCTTTTGTTCTTGCCTAGATTTCCCTCTGTGTCCCACTGGTTTTTCTTCCCATGAAACTATTTTTATAACAAAAAAAAATTTTTAAAAATACGAAGAAAAAAGCAGCAAAGTTGATTAATATATTGAAAAAAGCTGATGTTATATACAACATACTGCTCCTGTGGCTCCCAGTCTGCAAAGGAGCAGGGGGAACCCTCTTCTCATGTCTCTTCTTTAGGACCAAGCTTATTCTATGTAATTTAAAAAATATTCATTTTTTATTGTTTTGTGCTTATTCTTTTCATTTGTATTATTGTAGTTATTTTGTGTGTTGTTTCCCTGTCTTCGCTTGCTTCAGTCACAATCCATATATATCAGTCTTTCCATGTGGAGCTAGAATTTTTATTATTGTAAGAGCTTTGCCACCCTTCTCCTCACCTTTTATAACCCTGAATATCCCACCTGCTCTAGAATTGGAACAAAGTAAGTGATATCTGCTCAATGGACTCCTTGTACACCCAAAGACAAAATATGGTACTATTTTTCAATTTTGTTTTTATCGTAGTTCTAATAAAATAGTGGTCAATAAAAATGAAAAAAACCCCATGAAATCATATATTCACATTTTCCTCAATTTGTTTTCCAAAAAGCTTTTACCCAAGCCTTTTTAAAAAGGAGATAATTATTGGAATTGAAATTACTATGTGTCATTTGTTTTATTTACATGTGACCTTTTGAGTATATGAAGAATATAATCATTCTAATATAACACCTTAGGTCTTTTCTTTCATGTTTGGGGATATTTCCTTCCTGTGATAGGGTTACCTAGTTTTCGTCTTTTCTCCCAGTCTTGTGATACAACAACAGATGTCCTGATTCTGGAGAGGAAGACTTTCATCCTCTGAAGCCCTCCATTGGAACTAGTAGCCAGCACTAATCTCTACTGCATTGGTCTTAAAGCAGCTGCCTGCCATTTGGATAGAGTAGGAAGGTATGCATGCATCACATGTACCAGTTGTCTGTCATAAAGGTATCTTGAAGGCAGGTGTGCTTCCCACACAAGGTGGTCCTAATTATTGAATATCCTCTAATAAATTTGGAGGTCAGTGTATTGCTCCAAGTGCCCCATTCCACGGCTTGCTCCATATTCTTTGCTTGGGGCCCTTTCTTTTCACCTATCTTGTTTTCTGTTAGGACTCAGTATCTCATTTAATATAGCATCACAGGACCATAGATTTAGAATTTAAATGAATCTTATGTTATGGAGTACAATTTTTCCTCATTTTCTGGATGAGGAGGTTGAGGCTAAGTTACTTGCTTAATGTTACCCAGCTAGCGAGTGACCGAGCTAGGATTCAGAATGGCATCTTTTGACTCCAAAATGTAGCATTCATTCCAGCTATAGAAACTGGAAGAATTATGTAGTTGACCTCCATTAAGTATATGACATTTCTATTTCTGCCTCAACCAAGTGATTCTTAATTATGTTCCAAATGCAAACTTGTCTCCCTCCTAGAAATTAGGCAAAGGGGCTGAATGGATACTTCTCCACTGTCTAGAGCTTTAGGGACAAGCAAGTTAATATTGCCAACAAAAAATAAAAACAGATGAAGGATTCCAATGGGAAAACAAAGAATAAAACATATCTAAAAAGGCAGAGGGAAGAAAAAAATTTGGAGGGTGGAAGAATATGACAAAAGAGATGGGAAGGGAAGAAGAATCATAGAGCACTTGGAGGAAAGTAAGAAATATAGGGCACTTATTAAAGAGGAGAGAACTTATCCTTCTGAGGAAGAAGTAGCTCCTTGACCTCCAAGGAACACTGATGTAGATCTAGAGGTGATATCAGAGAAGGGATCATCCAGGAAGAGCTTGAGAAAGAACACATGAGGAGTGGTGATTGTTGAATCTATGCTAAATGGTACTGAGCCTTTTTTTCTTCATTGGCTAACATTGTAGAGGTCTACTATTTCCTTGGGATTGTGTGGAGAACCTCCCAAAACTTGTCAGTTGTTAGTCAATAAAAATCAAGTGGCTGCTATGTGCCAGGCACTGTGCTAAGAGATGAGGATTCAAAAAAGTCAATTCCCTGCCTTCAAAGAACTTACAATCTAATGGGGGAGAAAAGCAAACAGATATGTACAAAATATCTGTATACAGGATAAATAGAAGGGAAAAACTTAAAAGAAGGAAGGCACTAGAATTAAAATGGGTTGGAAGATGCTTCCTGTAGAAGAAAGGATTTTGATTAGGACTTAAGGGAAGTCAGAGAAACCAAGAGGAGGGAGAACATTGGAGGCGTGAGGGACAGCCCAGTTCTGGTGATTTGTGTGGGTATGAATGATTCTGGCAGAAGAAATACAGAAAGCACTGCTGAAGTTTATGAAGACTTAGATAGGAAACTGAAAAATCTTAGGGCATACGGGTTATTTTCAGGACTGCTGCTGATGGAGGGTAAGGGAATCAGAAGACAAAGGCAGGACTGAGAAATGAACAGCTGGGGATGGTAGTGGTTAAGGATGAGATTTGGATTTCTAGTCCATGGTTTAACATAAAAGGAGAGGCACCTAGGTAGGAATGGAGTACACATACAAAGAACTCATAAGGAAGTATTCTCCTAGAGTTTTACAAATCTGATTAAAAGGGTGTTTGAAAGGTGGAGGGAGAAAGTTGATTAAATACACTTACCATGTCACCGTAGAAGGAAGCTATGATGATGTAGGAGAGCAGCTTTAAAAATTTTTTTGGTTTTAAGATTCTGTTATACTGTTAAAAAAGCTTTTGTTTATGTGGGTTATATCTATTGATATTTACCATATTAGATATTAAAACTGATAAAATTTTAAAATATGTATTTATTCATTCATTTAAAATAAACCCATTATATCTTAACATAAATATATTTTAATGAAAAATAACTCTGTTTTCCTAAAGAAAAAAATAGTGGGAAGAGTGGTATTATTTTATTTACTTTTGTAAATCTCTCAAATGTCTGGCATGATAAGAAGACAACTGGATCCTCCCAGCTTTCAGTCTGTTGTAATATGTTGTTTTAGTTGAAGTATATGAAGAAAATCTGGCTTCACACACATAATTGTGGATATTCTTCTTTGATACTATACCACACCTCAGAAAGTGGTAGTTTTTTAAACGTTAGTTGCGGTGTAGAATCTGAAACCAGATCAATGAACTTTTCATATTTTGTTACATTAAAATCCATTGGTCTGTCTTGTACTTTGAATGGATCTTTCACCTATGCATTTTGTAAAATCATGCATTGGTCACTGAAAAATATTGATTGACTAAGTTAGACATATCTTCCAAAAGCAGACATATTTCATTATACTATGTAAAAATCACATTCATTAATATTGCTATTGATATCATCAGAAGAGCTTTCAGTATGGGAAAGCTATTAAGTTCACAGTAACAGATACAAGTTTTCCAAAGCTTGAGTTTTATCATTGTCAACAAATACTGTTAGTTGTTTTCCTTGAAGTGACAGGTTTACTTCATTCATTTGTGAGGAAATGTCTGTCAGGCACTCAAGTCAGAATAACCATAGTTTGTCCATGATTCTTTCCAATAAAAATGATGTTCTATGAAAAAAGTGGGTAGTTTAGCTCACAAAACAAACTATCCCATAAGGGCTTTTCTTTAAGCTACCATCAGACTTTGGTATGAAGCAGAAATGTGTTACATATACTTCCTATTTTTTCCATACAGATTATTAAAAATATATGTACTTAGGGTCAAGATTTAATAAAATTATTAGTTTTTATTGCTTCATCAAGATGTTCTTTTTTGGGGTGTGTGTGTAGTGGTGTGAAGATTACAATGACTAAAAGTACAGTTTGATGCTTCTGCCTTGGCTCGTGCTAATTTTAGCCACTACTGCTTTTGTACCATCAGTGAAAATGTCAGCACAGTTGTTTCAGGACAAACCGTGAAATTCAAAAAAAGTTATTCAATACTTTGAATAGTTCAGTACCACTTGTGTTTGTTGCCAAGGATTCACACAAAAGAAGATCTTCGATGATTGGTGGGTGCTGATAGCAAACAAACACAAACAAAACATCACGTCCAGTCAAGTCTGTAGATTCACCAATTTGTCAGGCAAGTATACAATTCTGCAGACTAGGTATTAACTCAGCCTTCACGTTTGTAGCTAAATCTTTAACTCACAGGTTATGTAGGCTCTGAAAAACACTGGACAAGCATGAGAAAATGAGGGTGACAAAGGCAAATAGAACGTAAGTGTTATTCTGAAGAGTTTGGACCTTATGGACTGCAAGAAAGTTCCTGGGGACCAACAGGACTACACTTTAAGAACCAATGGTATAGGAAGATGAATAGCAGTAAAGATACCCAACAAAATCCAAGAAAGGATCCACCACTTAAGTTCAAGGTCTCAGTTGTCTATGTACAAATATACAGCATATGGATAATAAGAAGGGTAAAGTAGATATATTAAGGGGAAGCAAATTTGACTTCATAGATATCAATTGAGAAGCACTTTTGTTAAGCACTTAAGGGCGGCTAGGTGACATAGTGGACAGAGTGCTGGGCCTGGAATCAGGAGAACTCATCTTTCTGAGTTCAAATCTAGCATCAGAGACTCCCTAGCTGTGTGACCCTGGGCAAATCACTTAACCCTGTTTGCCTTAGTTTCCTCATCTGTAAAATGAACTAGAAAAGGAAATAGCAAACCACTCCAATATCTTTGCCAAGAAAAGCCCAAATGGAGTTTCAATGTATTAATCAACTTGAACATGGCCAATGTGAGATTTTGCTTTGCTTGACATTTGTACTAGAATTTACTTTCTCATTTTGTTTAATGGGGTGGGAGGGGGACACAATGTGGGAGGGAGAGAAAATAAATGCTTGCTAATTGAAAAAAAAATTAAGAAAGAGATTCTAACCTTGAGAGGCTAATATTTTTATTTTAATATTCATTTTCATGCAGGAAGCCCTCTGTAGTCCCTTTTTCTGACCTACTGCTGTAGGTCACAGGGATATACCCTTTTGCCTCTGGCCAGCCATCAGTTGAATATTCCATGACCCCTCAGTACCATTGCATGAAACCCTGCCTCACTTGATTTCTTGGAGCACTTTTAGCCATCCCAGTTAAATGCCTCATGCCTGGATCCCATTCCTAGTGGATCCAAGTTGTTCAGGGCAAGATAGGCCTCTATGAATATTTGTTTGGCCAAGGGAAAGTACACATACTTGTGTTGAAAAGATATTAATTCTGAAAAAAAAGTATGCACTTACACACATCCAACTAAATTCTCAGATCTTAGGTATTAAATTGACTCTTCACAAAACTTAGTATTTAACCATTTAAAGTAAATATCAGCAGAGGTTCTGGTTATGCTGCTAATGATTTTTATGTGTGAAAAACTACTTTCCTTATAGGTAAAGCTGACAAAGCTTACACAGAATCCAACTACCATGTAGTAGCCTAGTCCATGGAATAATTTGGATCAATAAATCACTACTTATTTATTTTACTTACCGAAGATGCACAGCATGGCAACTGGAGTCCATTCAGATCTTTGATGAACTTACGACTGTGATATTCATTCGGTTTTTGTAGCCTTCGTTGAGGATTTGCTGATTGTTCATACTCATTGAGTGATATCTTCCTGTTTCTGTTTGCCTGGAAGTCATTGGAGTAAATGTCTACGACATTCATCACATATCAAAAAATGATAAAAGTTATGCATAATTGGGATAACCTTTCTGCAGAGGGGAAATAAATTTTGTTTTTATTCTGAATATATTTACTCTACATATGCATTATCTTCCTGAGAGTAGGGATGGTTTTGTTTTGTTTTGTTTTTGTATCTCCAGCACCTGACCCATTGTGGGCATTTCAAAAATGTCTGTTGATCAATTGAGCTAGTTCTGAGATTGGCAGCAGGAGACCTGGGTTAAAATCCTTGCTCCAATAATTCCTAGATATGTGACTATGGATGAGTGACTTAACCTCTCTGAGGTTCCATTTCCATATCTTATGGGGAAACTAATACTTGTGATGGAAGAGTTGTCAGGATGGAAGCCCTTTGTAAACCGTAAAGTGCTTCATAAATGTAAATGGATATTGAGTGTTTTTTTTTTCCAGTAGAGGTGACAAGTTGCTGATCTATCCACTCTCCATTTTCAATATTCCTGTGACCAAAAGTATACATTTGTAAGATGTCCAGCTGGGTTAAGTAAGGCACAAGAACTGTGCCCAGGAAACTCTAGCCATGTGGATATACAACTCCTGGCTTAGACTTGATTAGGTTCCGTTCTCTAATTACCCAGCTACAGGTCATATAAATGTGCTGAAAATTAAACTTCATAATGATGTGAAAGCTCATCTGTGATGTCTCAAATCTTGAAAATTATAGTGATGTTTGCTTCCTAGAAAAATAAACAAATCAGAGCTCTATTGTCATTTCACAAGTAAAACTTCGTAAACATCTAATTATACTTTCCTTGGTAGCATTACTTTTCAAAGAAGCCAAGGAGAGGGAGAGGGAAAGGGAGAGGAAGAGGGAGAGAAAGAGGGAGATTCTTGCCCTTAGTGTAACTGAGGAACAGCTGAGTTTCCATTTGGGTTTCAACACTTTTCCAATCCGTTCTATTTGTTATATTCTTAGATTGGTAAATACAGTCTCTTTGGTGCAAATGATTTTTCAGTAGTTAGGAGAATTTTTTTGGGGGCTGGTTTTCCCCTTTTTAGATACTCTGGTTCTCTCTACTCTTCCGTCACTCCCGGGGGTTTACCATGTTGGTGCAAGACTTAGTGTGGATACCCAGGAAGCTTTAGACCATTGTAGCTCAGTACCCAGAACTCAAAAGATTTGCCAGACTAAGCTTCCTTCAGTTGCAACAGGAGCATACCACATATAATCTATATGCTCTTCCACATCAATATCTAGTAGGTGGTTAAGGAATCCTTGTTGATTCATTGTTGATTGATGGAGGTAGAAAAACATGGAGAGTGTTATCAGAATACTCTAAGTGGCCTTGAGCAGGAGGTTCATGAAGTGGAAGTGTTTGCTACTGGGTTCTAGAAGTAGATTTGAGCCAAATCAGAGAGTTATGTTAAAAATCTACCTGCTAGATTGAATGTCTTTGGGGGAAAAAAATCCATATGGAAAGGCAGCATATATTTGGCCGTCTAATGGGTCATCTTTATTAATTCTTTATATATAATTCTGTCTGATACATATAGAAGGTTTGACTCCAAAGTAATGTGACTGATTTTTCAATAAGCAGTCCAGAACTTAGATCTATCTAAATAAAGGTTGTCTTCTCTATAGTAGTTACGTACACTCATTTCAGAGACACCGATACCACTTGGAATATTTGGGAACTCATCCTTAGGAATTGCCTTTACTTAAAATAAACATAAACAAACGTAGACCTATGATTTCATTCATGTCGGGAGCACCTGGTCAGAAGCACTCCTCTACCATGGCAGATGGACAGCTAGCCTTAGCATGCTACTTGGAGGCACTGAAAGGTCAGTGACTTGCCCAGATTCACATAGACAATATGTGGGGGTCACAGGGCCTGAGCCCCATTTTTCCTGATTCCAAGGCTGTCTGTCCTCTAGTCCGCAATGCCTCTCAATTATGTCCATGATTTTTTTTTAAATCAAAAGAAGTTAATATTTCTATCCTAACATTCATTATAAGCATAAAATTGGTTTTTATCATTGGCCCTCCTCTACAAAGTCTTTCATATAAGACTCATAAAAAGGTTCTGTAAGGAAGTCATATAGATCAAAAGATTCCTAGATTGTTTGAATTGGAAGGAACTTGAGACATTATCTACCTCAACCCTCTCATTTTGCAGGAGATGAAATTTAGGCCCCGAATGAAACATGGACTTACCCAACATCACATAGTTAATTAGTGTCAAAAATCGTAGTATGTTTCTTAAAATGTATTTATTTATTGCCTTTTTTTTTGGTGAGGAAATTGGAGTTAAGTGACTTGCCCAGGGTCACATAGGTAGTAAGTATCTGAGGCCAGGTTTGAAGTCAGGACAATGAGTCTTCCTGACTCCAGGCCTGCCACTCTATCCACTGTAACACTAGCTGCCATATAATATACATACATACATATACCTACCTCTGTGTGTGTGTACGAGTGTGTGTGTGTGTACGAGTGTGTGCATGTGTGCATGTGTGCGTGCACCAGGCACTATCCTAGATGCTAAGGAAACAAATAGAAAAGAAATGAAACAATTGCTACTCTCAAGAAATTGATTTTATATGTAAGCTATAGCAACTTGCACATAGAGGAAACCTAGTTAGAAACACTTTTAAAAAAAGTAATTAATTTATTTTTAGTTTTCAGCATTCACTTCCATAAACTTTTGAGTTTTAAACCTTTTCCCCTTGCCTTCCCACCTCCCTCCCCAAGATGGTGTGTAATCTGATATAGGCTCTACATATACATTCCTATTAAACATATTTTTACATTAGTCATGTTGTAAAGAAGAATTAGAACCAATAGAAGAAACCACAAGAAAGAAGAAAAAAAGGAGCATTTGCTTCTATCTGTATTCAGATTCCATAGTTCTTTATTTAGATGTGGATAGCATTTTCCATCATGAGACTTTTGGAGATGTCTTAGCTTCTTCCATTGCTGAGAGCAACTAAGTCTATCAAAATTAGTCATCACACAACATGGCTGTTACCATGTACAACGTTCTCCTGGTTCTGCTCATTTCACTCAGCATCGGTCCATGCAAGTCTTTCCAGGCTTTCTTAAAAGTCTGCCTGCTCATCGTTTCTTATAGCACAATAATATCCCATTACATTTGTATACCACAAATTGTTCAGCCATTCCCTAATTGATGGGCATCCCCTCAATTTCCAATTCTTTGCCACCATAGAAAGAGCTGCTATAAATATCTTTGTACATGTGGGTCCTTTTCCCATTTGTATTATCTCTTTGGGATACAGCCCTAGAAGTGCTGGGTCAAAGGGTATGCGCATTTTGTTTTTTGTTTTTTTTTCTTTTGGCTAGGCAATGGGGTTAAGTGACTTGCCCAGGGTCACACAGCTAGTATGTGTTATGTGTCTGAGGCCGGATTTGAACTCAGGTCCTCCTGAATCCAGGGCCAGTGCTCTATCCACTGCGCCATCTAGCTGCCCTGGTATGCACATTTTTATAGCCCTTTGGGCATAGTTCCAAATTGCTCTCCAAAATGGTTGGATCATTTCACAACTGCACCAACAATGCATTAGTGTTCCAATTTTCCCACATCTTCTCCAATATTTATTATTTTCCTGCTTTGTCATGTTAGCCGATCTGATAGATGTGATGTGGTACTTCAGAGTCATTTTGATTTGCATTTTTCTAATCAATAGAGATTTAGAGCATTTTTTCATATGACTATTAGATAGCTTTAATTTCTTCATCTGAAAACTGCTTGTTCATATCCTTTGACCATTTATCAATTGGGGAAGAAACCCTCTTTCTAATGTATAGACTTCACCACGTCAGTCCATGCTTAAAAATCTTTAATAGATTGGTATCATATTTAGAGTAAAATACAAACAGCGTTTTATTTAAGATAATGACTCATTGGGACCTGTGATTCCTATGATTATATTGGTTTAAGGAACTCCTCATGAAAAATGCCATTCTACCAAGGCACATTAGCACCAGTTCTAAGAATGTTAGCAGAAGAACTGAAAATGGAAATAACTGGCTCAGGGCCGCAAAGCCAGCATCCAGCAGAGACAGAATCTGAATCCAGGCCTTCCTGACTAGCTGAGGCCAGCTCTTTATCCACTATGCCATGTTGCCTCTCTATGTGCCAGGTAAGACCCCTTCACAATTTGACTCCAGCCTAACTTTAATCTACTTCCTTTGTCCAAACGACTACTAGCTATTAACTGATCTTGTTTTACCTTCTTCCTTACTACGCCATCACGTAAGCTTTCCTCAAGGTGAAGATCATGTATATCCTTTGCATCTCTGGCTGTCTGCTAAGGTACCAGTACTTCATGTCTTTCATGAAGAATTCTCTGGTCCTTCTTGACTGAAAGTGATTATTCTCTATTCATATTTTTATAACTATTTTGCCTAGATCTCTCCTTTGGCACTATCTCATTTTATCTGGTATCATACTTATTTATGTGTTCCTCACTGCTAAATTATAAGATCCATGGAGGCAGGACCATGTCTTTTTTTTTAAAAAATCCTACAGTGCCTTGCACATAGTGTGAGAAATATTTGTTGGATTGAATTTAACATTTACACCAACATACAAATATGCACCTCAGTTTTAGCACTTTGAAAGACCCGCAATTTGACCTCTGTAGGCATTCTCTAAAACAGCAGAGATCGTAGCCCTCCCTTGTCTGGTTGACTGTTTCCTGGAGTTGCTATGGCAACCCTCTGGCGATGTTATGGATACACAGACATGTACACATGTATGAGGCTTATCTATTTTTGAAATAAACATGATACACACTTGTATATACACAGAAAGACCAGAGTTCAAATGTGACCTCAGACTCTTACTAGCTGTGTGACCCTAGGCAAATCTCTTAACCCCTCTCTAAAAAACTAGAGAAGGAAATGGCAGACTCCTTCAGTATCTTTGCCAAGAAAATCTCATGCACAGTTGGTCCACAGGGTCACAAAGAGTCAGACATTACTGAACAACTGAATAGTAACAGCAACACATGGAGGAGACCATTTAGACATATTCTAGCTTTAACTTCAAATTCCTTAGGGTCTACTTAATAAACTAGTGAGAGAGCATTCCCTAAGGGGATAGGTTAAGGGGGACTGTCAAAACTCTCCATTATTTTTTTCTGTTTTTTTTTTTCCTTCTCTATCTTTCATGTATGCCATGGGCTGTAATGTTATCATGATGGAGGAAGTAACCATAGCTTTTATCTGATCCACTCCATTTCACAAATAAAGAAACTGAGGTATAAGATTTTCTGATACTATTATATTTTGAAGGAAGAATTTTAAAAATAAATCCTTTTACTTTATAAAATGAGAAAGGGTTAAATGAGATGGGACAGTTTAGAAAAACATGCCTTGTTTTTACTCTTTACGACATTAAAAAGACAAGAATAAAATAGGAAAATGTTTAGTATTCCCACAGGCTATTGTCAAACACTAGGTCCTCTTAGAGACGTTAGGACTCTGCCCCTGGAAATAAAGAATCATTCCTTTCCACTCCGTCATTCACTTACCAGTGTCCCAGCTCCTCCTTGATAGCTAAAATCAAACATCACCTCCGCGTGTGGCAAGCAGCTGTCCTTCTTGGTTTAGAGCTACAAGCTTGTGCTGGCATGGATACCAAGCTGCTCATTCCAGAAGGGTCGGTATGGAATGAGTGGATGTCTGCCAGAGCAATGGGAGGACAAAATAAAGGCTGAATGCCGTGTACCCGGAGAGCCTGACATTGGAGTACGAGAAATCTGCAAAAGTTCAAAAGGCCTAAGTGGGAAAGGTTCAGACATCTCGCCTCAGTCCAGTCAGTGTAACAGATAGCAGAGTCATATAGGACACACCGTGGCCTTAATCATACTCTTTCAAATAATAGATGAAAAAAATGGCTGTTCTGGGGCAATTAATCAATTAATCCATAAGCACTCATTAAGCACTCACAAGATGCTAGGGATGTTGATATGACTGCTAGTATAGAGTCTACACATGTGCTTCTACGAGGAGGGGCATGTTCAGAATTCTCGCTTGGAACACTAGAGAAACTTGTCCCTTTTCTGCTTCTGACACCAAAGGGGAGTTCTCTCCCTCCTCATCTCTGCTGCCTGCCTTCCATGGCTTCCTTTAAGTCCCAGTTAAAATCCTATCTCTCGTGAGAAGCCTTTCCCCATCCCCCCTGGATGCTTGTGACTTTCTTTGTTGATTATCTCTTATTTATCCTGTGTATACTTGCTCACACATGTTCACACATGTCGTTTTCAATCTGATTTTTTGTGACCCCCATTTGGGGTTTTCTTGGCAAAGATATTCTGGACTGGTTTGTCATTTCCTTCTGCAGCTCATTTTATAGATGAGGAAAATGAGGCAAACAGGGTTAAGTGACTTGCCCAGGGTCACACAGCCAGTAAGTGTTTGAGGTCAGATTCGAACTCAGGAACAGGAGTCTTCTTGACTTTAGGTCTGGCCCTCTATATGCTGTGCCACCTACCTGCCTCGGTTCGTCCATCGTTTGTGTGTTTCCTCCCCTGTTAGACGGAACACCTTGAGAGCAAGTAATGTCTTTTGCCTTTCTTTGTATCCCCAGAGCTTAGTAGAGTGCCTAGCACACATAAAATAATAAATTTTTGTCAATTTGACTTGCGAGTTCTAGTGTCTTGGAGTGGGGGGGGGGGGTCCAAGCAGTGCAATAGGAGTTGGGGACAAGGGAATAAGAATGGCAGAAAAAAGAGTAAGGAGCTAAAAGAGGCTGTGAAGCCGTATGTCAGTATGTTGGAAAGGTCCTTGGGAGCCTTTCATGGTCTGTGCCAACTCACACTCCATCCCAAGCCTCACTTGTCAGAGATGTCATAGAGCTGATTTTTGCTTCAGGAAAGGGATTAGACCAGATGACCTCTGAGGCCTCTTTTGACTCTGGAATGCACTGAAGATCTGTTCCCTAATGTAAAGGCTTTATTTTACCAGCCTACTCTGCCCCTAGCATTATATTAGTTGTAGGAAATGAAAACCGAAGTAGAAGATTTGAGTCCTGCCTCTTAGAAGCTTTCGGTCTCATTAAAGAAACAAGGTAAAATAATATATGAAACCATTGGAGATCTCTGGAAGTCAACATATAATTGTAGTCCTAGACTAAGGGAGGGTTCTAAGCTTGGTCCTAGATGAGGTTGGGTATGGTATCAGTATTTTGAGGTGGTTGGACTACTCTCACTCATGTATTTAAAAACAGTAAACTGGAGAGAAAATTGGAATGTTTTGTTGGTCCCCTGATTAATAAGGGGTGTTTTCTTGGGGAGAATGAAGATAGCTAACCTTCATATCAAAATAAGGACAACAGGGTCCATAGGATCATCGGAGTTAATCTAGAAGGGACTTCAGATATCAAGTTGTGCAACGCTTTCACTTTACGGAGTCAACAATTCAAAGATTTAGAACTGGATGGGACCTCAGGCTTGTCCAACTTCCATCTTTTGCATATAAGGAAATGGAGCCCATTGAAATCCAGTGACCTGCTCAGTGTCACACATATAACACACACACACAACCACACACACACACACACACACACACACACACACACATACACACAGATGTACATATCTATCTATTTGCATAGTTCTCAGAATCTTGGATTTGAATCAAGGTCTTCCATCTCCACAACCGATACTCTTTTTACTCCTTCAAATTGGTGACACAAGGAAAATGGTGTTCTAGCGAGACTGATATGGCAGTGTCCTATTGGGGAAGGGTGGTATAGAAAGCAGGAGGAAGAGAAGGGAGAAAAATAGAAAAGGAGGTCAGAAAAGGCTACTCTAGTGATTCAGGACCCTAGGAATTCTCACACGGTTTCCTGAAGTGAGTAACTACACGTAAGAGGAGCTAAGAAATGAATTTAATGACATGGTGAAACACAGTTGTCGGAATGGGTATTGCTCTGGTATGTTGGAAGACAGCTGCAACCAATAAACCAGCTTGACCTCAGCAAGTAAAAGTGTCCCACTTCCTTAACAAAGGTAAATCTGAGGCATAACTTGGAGCAATAGCAGATACTGGGAATAGCTGAGGCATCTGTGTATCATATGTTGTGTAGAAAGAACTACTGATCTATCTCCTTGTCCACTCTTCAAGAGACCACTTATCAATCTCATCTTCATCATTGGTGGCATTAAAATTATACCACTGAACCTCCTGGAAAAATCCTTCTGGGCCAAAATGATTCAGCCTATCTAGGAAAGTCTGATGATGTGATTGTCATGCATCCTGATATGTTCTTGGAAGACCAGTGATTGTGTTGGAAATTCTGTTTTAAATAGTCACATTCTCTCTATTTGTGAGATACAGTCCATCAGTCCCAATGGGTACTGTCCTGCTACAATGGAACCCAACACAAATCAACTTATCAATCAGTAAGTTCCATATTGATTCAAATATAGGCCATACTTCCTAAAATGAGATCTCTGAAAATAATATGTATATAAAGGGTGTTCCAAAAATCTTAGTGCAGTTTTAAGCTACTAGAGCTTAAATATACACCAAGCAATATAACTAATTTTAGGCCACACTTAGATTTTGTTTAAGACACATTTGAGGTGACAAATGGAGTATATATTTGGAGCATCATGGTATTGCCTCATAAGGATGTGGGAGTGAACCTGGATTCTTGAAGGCTATGCCCACAGAACATAGAGTTCTACCAAGCTAAAAAAGTGCTAGACTGTGTCCGAGGATCAAACCAACTAAATAAACAAAGGTTTCTCATTGATAGGTTGGCCAGTAGGTGATGAAATTTATGGCCACAGAAACCCAGGAAACAAAAACAATTACAAAATGAATTTCAGTTCTGTGTAGTCACTTTCCTTCTACTTTTGCAGTGATGGCAAAGCGGCAGAAAAGGGGCCAGGAGGTGCTAAGCATCACTCTAATTTTAGATTGTGTATAAATATTCATTAAACTGTTAGTGCTTTCAATGTGAGATCATTCACTCATGGCCAGTGAGGTGGCAAACTCCTTGAGGAATTGAATCACATGAATGTTGACATTTTTGCTATAAATAAAACCAGAAGAGATATAAGGAAGTTGGAGATAAATGGTAGGATGTTATAGAGGATGAAGAGATAGAGAAAATCTATGGAGAATGTGACAAGATACTCTTCCCCTGGATCCATGATATTTTAAAACATTTTGATGCCAATATAATCACTTTCCTTTGTATTCCTATGCATTTAATTTTATGTATTTAAAAAAAAACTTATTCTGGGAAAAGGGTCCATAGGTTTCCACAGACTGCCAAAGGGGTCTGTGACACATGAAAAGATTAGAACCCCAGTTCTAAACTAAGCCATGACTTTAGTGTGAATGTGGGCACAGTGGGAAAGGGTAAAACATATGTTGGAAAATATGGTTCAGCAGTAACAACTGATGCCAGTGGTTTGTAGACCAGTTAGAAAATTCATGCCCTCATGAGTACTGTCTTCACTAAGAGACTAAACCTTAACAGATGGGAAATGATTGATTGCTGATGTGAAAGTTATTTCCAGATCAATTTTCTGGGTGCAATCAAACCATGGACTAGTTAGACCAAAGGTCAAAATCAACATCAAATTAAAGAAAGAATAAATATTGTACCTGAGGACATGTATAATAGTTCCATTCCAGTCTATTAAAAAATCAGAAATGGATAAAGGAAAAGATATTTGACCTTGAGCATCACCATTCTTGCTAGACATTTTGCCAATGTAAAGCATTTGCTGTGATGAGGAGCCAAGGCATGGTCAGGTAGGTCCATTTGAATCACAATGAGTTTTATCAAACACTGGTTTTCTAATGCTGAATTTCAAGAAATCATAAATGAAACTACATGGGGCAAAAGAGATAATTGTCCCAGTTTTTTTTTTTAATGATAGAATAAATATGTAGAGAAGAGGAAAAAAAGAAATCTAGCCCATAAACCCCACTGGTAAGGGTATGATTCCCTATGTGGACAGAGGGAGAGGAGGGAGGGAGAAGAAGGAAGGAAGGAAGGAAGAAAAAAGGAAAGAAGGGAGAAATAGCTTACTCAACAGGGAAGTAGGAATGGAAACGTTTAAGAAAAAGGGGAAGGGGTGAATGAGAGGGAGGCAGTGGTCAGATGGAGGGAGGATAGGGCTGGCTACTTGAGAAGCGCACTGCCTTAAAGTAGCAGATCTTCGACTTGGATCCAGTTCCCATAACTCTTTCCCGTTCTTTTTAAAATTGTTAGCAGTTGACAAAAGAATTTCACAGCTTGGCCTCTTCCTGCCTTCCCAGGCTTCTTATACTTCCCTCCCTGCCATGTACCCTAGGAGCCTTCAAAACTGGCTTTCTAGGCTGTTCCTTGGCAACGGCGCTCCCTCACTCACCTGCATGCCTTTGCAGAGGTATTTCCCATGTCTAGGATGCTCTCCCTTTCCCCTCTGTCTCTTGGCTCCCTTCAAGACTAGGCTTGAATCTTGCTGCATGCTAGAGGACTTCCCCAGCCCATGCCCCCTTGAACTTTCCCTCTTTCTTTTTCTTCCTTTCTTTCTTTCTTCCTTTCTTTCTTTCTCTTTTTCTTTCTTTCTTTCTTTCTTTCTTTCTTTCTTTCTTTCTTTCTTTC